GGTAATTGTTAAATGACATAACATGCATGTGTTAATAGTGTCTGTTTGTTTGCATTTATTGCAAACAAACATCCAAATTATAGAATGGATCTTACAGAAGCAGGGTCATCATATTTCACCCAAAAAAAAATCATTGTAAGATAAAATAAACTTTTGCATAAAGAAAATGACACTATTTTTTAGAACCATTAAGTTTTTTTCTTTGCATGGTAACATGACAATTAAGCAATTTTTTCTTTTAATTCTTACTACACATAAATGTTCCCATCACGGTGCTAAAAATAACGATTTATTATTTATATTGTAGAGTAGTACTTGAATGTACTTCATAGCAGTATTTGCAGTACTCAATTATGTTTCATCATCGTGACTGGATTATTCTCATTAGTATTTATGCAAATTATTATTGCAATTTTGGAGTAAATATGATTGATTTGCCTCTTAGAACGAGAAAAGCAATGTACAGTTCTTTCTAAGAGAGATTCACCAATCCCCCCAAAAGTATCCTTTTTAAGATCCATGAGTAGGTTGGGGGTCTCCACACACACTCAGTACCTGCAGCTGGTTCGGCTGGTGGGGCTTCGGCTGGTGGGGCCTCAGCAGGTGGGGCTTCAGCGGGAGGTGCCTCCGCCGGGGCTCCTTCAGCTGGGGCGGCCTCCGCTGGAGCGGCTTCGGCGGGGGCAGGTTCGGCAGGAGCGGGTTCAGGTGCGGGTGCGGGCTCGGGCTCGGGCGCTGGTTCGGGTGCCGCTGCGGGTTCCTCCTTCTTGGCGGCCTTAGCCGACTTCTTTATCGGGGCTGGTTTTGCCGGCATGCTTGTCCGCTTCAAGGATCCCTCAGTCCTAGTAAGTCCTTCGGCTCAGTCTGAAGGTTAGTCAACCCAGATTTATAGCCTAAGGCATGTGGCGCTGGCCAACTCCTCCCCTCGAGAGTTTCAAGTGACTAGTGAGGGAGCGAGCAGAGCTCTCAGCATCACGGTCACTTCAGCTGTATATATACACTCACAGTCGAGTGTCACTGCCGATAAGAAGCGTGCGAGTAATAATAATAAAAAAATCATTACATTTATATAGCGCTTTTCTAGGCACTCAAAACGCTTTACATTGTGAGGGGGTATCTCCTCATCCACCACCAGTGTGCAGCATCCACCTGGATGATGCGACGGCAGCCATAGTGCGCCAGAACGCCCACCACACACCACACACCAGCTTATTGGTGGAGAGGAGACAGAGTGATGAAGTCAATCAGCAGATATGGGGATTGTTAGGAGGCCATGATGATCAGAGGCCAAAGGGCAAATTTGGCCAGGATGCCGAGGTCACACCTCTACTCTTTTTTAATGAAATTTTTTTTTAATGACCACAGAGAGTCAGGACCTCGGTTTAACGTCTCATCCGAAGGACGGTGCTTGTTGACAGTATAGTGTCCCCGTCACTATACTGGGGCGTTAGGACCCACACAGACCACAGGGTGAGCACCCCCTGCTGGCCTCACTAACACCTCTTCCTGCAGCAACCTAGTTTTTCCCAGGGGGTCTCCCATCCAGGTACTGACCAGCTCAGCCCTGTTTAGCTTCAGTGGGTAACCAGTCTTGGGCTACAGGGTGATATGGCTGCCGGATAACCGGAGTACTGAGGGTCTGGGGGAGGGGCGTTTTAAGTACATACTAAACCGATTTCTTAGTACGTCTGCAAGACGTCTGTTAAAGATCGCTTCATCTGGAAAGCATCTGCTGTGTACAAACATCTGATAGACGTCTGTAAGATGTCAGTTTTACATACATTCTAAATCATAAACATCTTAAAGACATTTTCAAAACGTCTATTTGACATCTGATAGGAAACGTCCTGTAGACGGATTGCAGATGAGCAAACTCACTCTTGCAGTCAAATAGACGTCTCAGTGATGTACGTGTGCTATCAGGGTTAACACCACAAATTACAAAAGTAAGACTTCAACAGCATTTAAATGATTTAAATTGTAGGAAACTCATACAAGGTTTGAAAAACCTGAAGGTGAGTAAATGATGACAAAATGTTTTTTCCAAACATTTTTGGATGGACTATCCCTATTAAGCAGCCAGGTCTACTTTAATTAATGACTTAATTATATAATGGTGTTTCTGTCTATATAGTCTGTCTGTCTTCGCACTTGTCTGTAAACATTGGCATTTGTGTGTCCCCATGACATTCCAAGAAGGCTAAACTTAAGCAAATTATTTGATAGATTTAACTCTGAGCAATTAAAAATGCATTAGATATCTTTACTCTTTAACTTCAGCATGTGAAAACATAAGACACGACAAAGAACACACTTAACGAACGTTGTGGTTTTATTATGACAGATGGACAACGTCTTGGTGGTCATATTACGAACATCCTAAGCATGGCAGTTTTCTTGTACCGGGCCACTCCATCGGTAACAAAAGCACAAGTCTTCCTTACAAACCACATTTCGTAATGACATTATGTTTTTTTCTTATATGATTGTTGTTGCAAATGCAGGGCCACGCTATGTACAATGTTTACATTTATAACGTTCTGTACAAAATGGAACTGGAGTTGTACAAACAATCATTTGGGGGAACGTTACGATAAAAAGAAAGTAATATCATTCTTTTATACAACCCCAAATGAGGTAGAACACATCCGTAATTCTGCTTCACACTAAGGTGACATGCGTTTACGACATTTATAAACCCATTGCACATTTTTACTTACATATTCTACCGTCATATTACCTTTTATGCAATAGTATTGGACTTTTGAATCAATATCAAGCATTGCATGAAGTGAAGGGACTATTCAGCAACTTCTCACCACTTTGTATCTGTAACAGCTTTATATTTTTCATTGGTCCTCTTTGAAACACTTTACATAAAACCAAACCACCTGATATTAAAGATCCATAGGTTCATTCACGAGTTGCCCAAACTTGACCCTGACCTTAAGACAGCCCCATTAAGGCATACAATCACCCAAAGTCTTTATCCCATGAAGTTCCTGACTCTGTTTAACATACATGACAAATTATTGCAATAATATAGTCCACATAAAAAGGTGCATGAAAGAGTGAAAACAGCAACAGAAGCAGACACAAACCAAAGCTTATGAGCGACAGACAGTGAAATCAATGTAAAAATCCAGTTTTACCAGTCACCATCCATGTGCTGTCATTACAATTCCAGGACAGACAAAGTAGACAGTAAAAAGTTGCTGAATTGTCGTGTTAAATGGGACTTTGCACAACACAGCACAGCTATCACACGGTTACAGGCACAATAACCAGAAACATGATGCAGACAGTGTACAGCGGCTTTAGTCACACGAATAAACGTCTTTTTAAAACAAGAGTAGCCTGCTGCTGATGAAAACGCTCCGCAAATTCATCTCTACCTGCTCGCGTTACAACAAAATTAGATTTATTCCCTCAATGATTAGCTTTATTCGCTGATCCAGATTCAATACAAGTGGTAAATCACCAACATGCCGCGGTTATGAAACATATTTTGTTGCAGTAGCAAGAATGAAACTGCAAATGGGCTTCAGCAGAAAAGCATCCAAAGCCACTGACACACTGTCTTATGTCTGGAATGTAGTCAAATATAAATGTCACATATTAGACTTGAAGCAGCAGCAGCGCAACCGAAGGAGGCTAAAAAAACAAAACAATTTCGCCATCTTGAACATTACGAGTCTCCCTATTTGGCTAAAAAACTCCACAATCCCTCATTTCTTGGAGAAGGAACTACGGAAATCATGTTTACACTGTGTAGAGTAATGATAATGCAGTATAGATGAATAGAAAGGAATGGAATGATTGTTATATTTTAACTTCAGTAGCCCAGATCGTACCTACATGCATGTTTAGATACTAGTTTCAGGTACAGAGATGGGAAATTACTGGTCCACCAGAGTAATGATAATGCAGTATAGATGAATAGAAAGGAATGGAATGATTGGAGTTATATTTTAACTTCAGTAGCCCAGATCGTACCTACATGCATGTTTAGATACTAGTTTCAGGTACAGAGATGGGAAATTACTGGTCCACCACTGCTTTCTGTGAGCATTGAGGACGTCTGGATGTAGTGTACACTACTCTCGTTAGCACTCAACAGAACTGCTGACTTTGATATTACTCGAAAGCTTCAGAGATTGATATGTTTTTGGATTACCATTAAAAAGGAGGCTGATTTACTTTGACATAAGTAGTGGATTTTTAGTGCGATGATTAAACTACGTTTAAAGAAACTTAATGCTCTAAAACTATCACTATAAGGATCGTATAAATAAAATGATCACTTGGTTGTACCTAAAGATGCCCTTAAATGCCACAAGACTAAGGCTGTTGGATGTCAAGTGAGATTTTTGCTAAACCAAGTGATGTTTTCCAATAGTGATACTGGATAGCACCAAATAATCAAATATGATCTTTGCCTTCACTTCCGTGTGCACTTTATTGGGGTGAACGTCTCTTCAAATAAAGCCTCTTACTGAATAAAGCACTGAGTATTTGGTTTTCTACATTTGTACCATTGGCTACAAAGAGAGCAGTAACTGAGAAAGTAGCTGTATTGAATCTAATTAGAGGCCTGAGATAACCAAACCCCTGAGCTGAGATCAGTGTCAAAGCCAAGTAAAACATCTCTACAGTATCATTACAGTAAATCAAAGTGCAAAAAATGGTCTGTTTGGTCCGCCGTTTTTTACAGCGAGTTACTGAGGTGCTTTTGTGAACTGTGGGAACTTTTGAGGGAACACAAGCTTCAGTTTTGAGAACGCTTCCCCTTTTGAAACAGGACGCAGAACCATACTTTCAATTTAAATGTAAGGAATTAGAATTAAAATGGAATGAAATTCAAAGACTGCATGACTGAATTGCAATTCAGTAATTTCCCCTCACTTTCATTTTAAATCAAAATCCTATCCAACATCCTGTTTGTTGCCAATCTAATTCAGATTCACACTCAAAAATTGCAAGGTGCCTATTCATTTCTGATCTTAGCTCAACCCTGCCCCCTACAGAGTGAGGAGGGAACATGATAGCACACTTAGAATCTGTTATAAGGCATTCACTGTGTTAGAAAGAGGAAGAAAAGCTGTAATGCAGTCTGCATAAGTGTTTCTGGGGTTAAACTAGCTCATGCTGTGGCCATATTCAAACGTGAAAGAAATGAAACGTACAAAAAGCAGCATAGGCTAAAGTGGCCTGTAGCATAGGCTTAAGTGTTACATTATTAAGTGAGACATATTTCCCAGTATCTCCCATGTTGGCTCTTATTCATGGCCACTAGATGAAGTCACGTGTGCACACTAGTGATTTTAGCACCTGCATCGTTGAGTTGTTAATACGGGCAGCAGTGGAACAGTAAAGGTTCCCACAAAGAGAATTACATACGTACTAAAGTGTCCATAAACAGAAATATGCAGTTAGAAGTGCTATAAAAGGATAATTTTCGTCATTGTTTTTTTTTTAGGAGAATGAGTTAATTGTTTTTGCAAGCCCTTACATAAAAGTACCATGGTAAAAAAAATTTACCATGGATAAACCGGCTGTGGTGGTTTGGTCACTAACATGACAATACCTTATTATGTACTCAGCACCATGGTTTATGGATAGTTTTATGGATCACCACCAATATTTAAACTATTCTGCATTAAATAAATGCATATGGAAAAGTGTACAGTAGATTTAGGTGCTGTAACGGGTTTTCTACCATTTTAACCACTATTTTTGCCATCACTAGATCATTTTAAAGGTCCTGGTCTGATTTTAGAACAAATATTCCATATAGTATAAATACTCACAGATCAATCACCTTTAAGCAGTAAAACAGAATATCAGAATGATTTCTGAAAGATCATGTGACACTGAAGAGTAATGGAGTACAGATACTGAAAATTCACAGCAATTTTAAGTAAATATTTCACAAATAAATATTCATTTCAGTAATTCTGTGTATATCTCATTTGCTTTGATAACATTAAACTCTACTGAATTATAAATGTGTATATAAACAACATAAAAATGAATGTACAGTGAGCCAGTCATTGTGTAAAAATAAACCCCAACACAGTGATCAAGGCCTGACATTATCCTGAAGAGCTTTATTTTGCAATAACGACCAGCTGACTGTCTATTACCCTGCTTATCATGGCTACTTGTCAAATAAATGACCAAATGGACATGCAACTTTTACTTATAGTGAAATTATTTAATATTTTATGTTTGAAAAAAGAGACTGAGGAGTTTCACGAGAGAGGAAACTACGCTTAAAGCACATCTATGCTTAGAATTGTAACAAATACGAAAATTGAGAAATATAGTACCGTTCAAATGTTTGGGGTCAGTTTTTTTTTTTTTATAATATTTTTATTCAGCAAGGATACATTAAATTGCTCAAAAGTGACAGTAAAGACATTAATAATCTTACAAAAATTTTTATTTTAAGTAAACGCTATTCTTTTGAATTTTCTATTCATCAAAAAATCCTGAAAAACAAGAATGTCCACAAAAACAGTAAAGAGCAACTGTTTTCAACAAAAAGAAGAAATGTTTTTTAAAGGGGTGGTTGATTATGATTTCACTTTTTGAACTTTAGTTAGTGTGTAATGTTGCTGTTAGAGCATAAACAATGTCTGCAAAGTTGCAATGTTCAGTTCAATGCAAAGGGAGATATTTTCGCTATTTAAGGACAACAAAAAACGGCTGGTAGGGACTACAACGAGCTTCTTCCTGGGTTAGGGTTAGGGTTAGGTCCCGCCCCCGGGAACACGCAACTACCCATAATGGTAAGGGGGCGTGACATTTCCGAACAACGTGCACTAGGCAGTTAGCAAATCACAAACACTGAGCCCGCTAACCAATCAGAGCCCATTGCGTATTTCTGAGGAAGTGGCTTCATAGAACCAGGAACTCAAAAGACCGTTTTGACAAGAATGGAAACTAGTGTAGAATAAAGGTAAAATATGTGAAAATAATGTTTTTTTTTTTTAAACAAAGCATGAACACATGTTACACTGCACCCCATAAACACAATCAAGCTTTCGGAAAAAACGGATCAATCACCTTTAAGCAGTAAAACAGAATATCAGAATGATTTCTGAAAGATCATGTGACACTGAAGAGTAATGGAGTACAGATACTGAAAATTCACAGCAATTTTAAGTAAATATTTCACAAATAAATATTAATTTCAGTAATTCTGTGTATATCTCATTTGCTTTGATAACATTAAACTCTACTGAATTATAAATGTGTATATAAACAACATTTATAAATATATAATGTATATGTTTTGGTTGCTGTGTACCTTGCAGGACTGGCGGTGCATGTTGAAGGTGGTGGTGATGGCGGGTGTAACCTCTCGAGCGCTGCGCTCCACCAGGTACTCGGCGAGGCGGTTGGTGAGGTAGGTCTTCCCTGTGCCGCTGGGGCCCGATAAGATCAAGCGCCGGTGCTTGAGCAGCAGACTGATGTAATGCTGCATCATGGGCTTGGGGATGAGTGTCTCAAACACTAGAACATCCACACACTTCTCCTTCAGTCCTACAGTCAGGACAAACAGTGGGTATGAAATGAAGGTCAAAAGCAGTACAATACAGATAACATGTTTAAAGTGCCCCTATTATGCCATTTCCAATATTGCCTATCATGCAGTGTGTAATGTAGCTGTATGTGAATGTAAACGACCTGCAAAATTGTAAAGCTGAAAGTGGAAGATAAAGTTATTGTCTCCCAAAATAAAGAATCGGAGTCTGAAACGAGTCGTTAGTAATTCAAATCCCACTTCCGTGGCGGCTACACGTAACGGGGTAACACATTTGCATAATGCGCACAAGTTCTACGTTGGCCGGCCACGAACAACTTGACCCCGCCCACAAACACGTCATTCTACTGACGACTGCTTCTCTAATCTCGGGGAGTTCAACGCGGGATTCACGAAACGCTTGCTGTTGAAAGATGGATCAGTATCCTATTTATTTGGACCAGCTGCTCCACTGAATCACAACCTGTAAGTATGATAAATAATAGATGTTTATACTTTCTATAGAGCGTTCAAAATACAGAACTATTGAAATAGGCGAATCGTTTCCGACATGCGCTGTATGCCGTAGACCAATCCCAACAGATTAGGCCATCTGACCAATCAGAGCAGAGCAGGCTCACGGAAAGGAGGGGTTTAGAGAGACTGAATCTTTGAACCGCTTCGAACGAATCGTTTGAGAATCGCTGGAAAATGAGATGATATTAAAAGCATATTTTGAGAAAACGAAAGCGTTTTTTGACCTTGCATGCATGTAATCCTATTGTAGGAGACTCCCAAAACAATATTAGGAACTGTAAAAATGGCATAATAGGGGCACTTTAAATTACATTTACAACTAGTCTTATAGATGCTTTTATCCAAAGCAACAAATGACTGACATTTACAAGCAATCAGCAGAGTTTCAAGAGTAAGCTAGAGGTTTAGTGTGGTTATTTTAAGGTATATAAAAACATATATTTTTAAACATAAAAATGCTATCTTTTTAATATAGTAAAATAATGAAAACTATATATATGTGTGTGTGTATATATATATATATATATATATATACATATATATATACTGTATATGTGTAT